GATGTGCATAATAGTACTGTTTACCTACAGGTGTTTTTTTTTTTTTTAATTTTTTTTTCAACGTTTATTTATTTTTGGGACAGAGAGAGACAGAGCATGAACGGGGGAGGGGCAGAGAGAGAGGGAGACACAGAATCAGAAACAGGCTCCAGGCTCTGAGCCATCAGCCCAGAGCCCGATGCGGGGCTCGAACTCACGGACTGTGAGATCGTGACCTGGCTGAAGTCGGACGCTTAACCGACTGCGCCACCCAGGCGCCCCTACAGGTGTTTTTTTTAAATGTGTATTTATTTCTTTGAGAGAGAGAAAGAGAAAGGGGGGGAAGAGCAGAGAGAGAGAGGGAGACACAAAATCCTTAGCAGGCTCCAGACTCTGAGCGTCAGCACAGAGCCTGATGCAGATCCCACAAACTGTGAGATCATGACCTGAGCTGAAGTTGGACGCCCAACTGACTGAACCACCCAGATGCCCCTACCTACGGGTGTTTTTAAAACTTAAATGATGTAATAGTTCAGGAAGCATTTAAAAAAAATTGTTAACTGCCTTCCACATGTAAGATTCTTCAATTTAGTCATTTAATAAATATTTAGTATCCACTATGTGTCTGGGGTTATATTAGGCTTTGAGGTTACAACCAGTGACTGAGAAAAGATTCTTGCTCTTGCTTAGTGTCCATTCTTATGGAAGAAAGACATTAAACAAATACATGATCAAAGTCTCTTAGGTGATGAGTGCCATGATACATTTACAACAGGATGAGGTGATCAAGAGAAACCAAAGTGCTCCTTAGGCTCAGTACTTATGCCAAGTACTTTGTTTTTCTTCCGAGACTTCAATAATAAAAAAGGAACCTGACATGCTGAGATGATGAGGGTACAGAGTGTGGTAGCCAGAGGAACAGTTGGTTTAAGGCTCAGTCAGGAATACATTCAATATGACCAAGGAACAGAAAGCTGGTGGGCATGGCCAGAGAGACTAGGAACCTGAAGCAGAAGATGAGGTTGGAGACAGGCAGCTGCTAACTGGATCATGAAGGGCTTCCTACTTCAGAAAAAGAAGTTGGATTTTTTTTTTTTTTTTCAGAGAGAGATTGAAACCGTGGAACACTTGAGAACTCAGAATCACTTCAATAGTCCAGATAAGAAATGATAATATGACAAGAGAAATGGTAGTGGCATAGATTGGGACCATAGCAGTGGAAATGAAGAAAAGAGGCTTTATTAGCAAAATGTTTTGGATATAGAATCAAGAGGACTTGCTGATGCATTGTGTATGAAACATTATATAATGTGAGTAATCAAGGATAACTCCAAAGTTTTGGCTTAAGAAATTGGAAGGATGGGAAGCCATTTACTGAGCTAGGAAAGAACACAATGGATGAAATTTTAGAATGAGCAGAAGTAGCACGTGGGGAAGAATCAAGAGCTCTGTTTCAAATATGTTCATTTTTAGATGCATATTTGACATTTAAGTGGATATGGCAAGGAGGACTTAGGTATATGTGTCTGAGCCTCTTGGAAGAGGTCAGAGCTGGAGATATAAGTATTAGATCACTGACATGTAGATAGTATTTAGTGCTAAGTGAATTGAAGAGGTCACCTAGGGAGAGAGTGTTAAAGAAGAGGCCTCTAGATTACAATGAGTAAAGAAATTGGAGAAGACTGAAAAAGAGGGGACACAGAGACAGGGAAAGAAACAGAAGAGTATAAGGTCCCAAAAGCTAATGGAATGATGGATCTCAGTAACAATGGAATCATCATTGTAGAATGTTGTAGAGAGTTTGAGTTGTGGCAAATCAAATAGCTATGTCCTGGTTAAGGAGATTATAGGGAAGGCATTATGCTGCTTTCTGGCCCTGCTGAAAACAGTGGACCAGTATCTAGTTAATGCATCTGGTGGGGTTGGGTCTTTGTCTGTGTCTTGAATTCCTTAGACCAGGTTATCTGTGGAATATCTTATCTTGTTCTCCACCCTACTTTTGGCATCTGCTCTTTGGTATTCTTGGGAAAACCTTGTTTTTTTTGCATGCTTTCTATACATTTTTACTGGCACTTAGCCACTGACATATTATGCAATGTTTTCCCTATGGTGTATGCCTAATAAATGTTGGAGCTTGAGAGCAGCTTGGGGAAACTTCCCTTAGCTTCCTTCTCACCTCTCTTGACTTGTGGAATCTTAAGTAATCCTTTCTGCCATCCCGGGCTTTGCTGGACAAAGCCGAAAGCCAAACCCACAAAGTCGAGTGTTGAACCCACAACTGGTGTCCCTGAC